ACTGTAACAAGGATTGCCCTGCAGAAGCGAACACTCTAGAGCAGCAGACGGCTGGTCTTCGCAGACCGCGCCTCTAGGAGCCCCGTCTCTGAGCCCCGAGCAGCCCGCAGAGGGCCGAACCCCCCAAGAGACATGAGGGCCACGCCAAATCAGACAGGGCAGGGAACTCCGGATACTATTTTGGCGGCGCGCGCAAGGGGGTAGGAGGAGGGGGAAGAACTTCTTAAAAGGAGGCTGCTCCTTAGAAGACGCCCGCCCGACATCTATAGGCAAGGCCCACGCCTTCCAAGAAGCAGGGGTGCGTCTGAGGAGCCCCCCTGCCCCCCACTCTGCGCGCGGCTGAAGACTTGTTCGTCGCAGGCTCGGCGGTTGCGCGAGCCGATCGGGCACAACAGGGCGACTGCGGAGCGCAGCTGCGCACAGAAGGGAGAGGATGACTATCTACCAAATCACCACAACCCAAACCGAAGACCCGCATTGCGGGTTGGGGGGGTACGGGTTTCATCTGTGGTTTCCTCAATGCTCTTCGAACCCTCCCACACTGGAAATGGAAGGCTAATTGAGGCCTTCGGCTTGGGTTGGGGTAGTTTGGTGGGTGGTGAGAGGAAGAGGCGAACGGTGGCCGCGGAGGGAGGGGAAGAGGAACAGGAAGGCGGCCCCCGCAGACCGCGTAGGTCCTGCAGCGGCGTGCTGCAGCCCAGGCTCTGGCAGAGTACTGCAAGCGAGGCGCGTCGAGGTGCGTCCAGCAGCGAGCTCCGGATGATACCCCGCGCCTTGAGATCAGAAGTCGTATCTCCGGGCCCCAGACCTTCCACGCAGTGGGCCCCCAGAGCCATGGACCCCCTCCCCGCGACCGGCTCTGCGCTGCGCGCAGTGGACTTCTGGACGGCCCTGCAGCCCGAGGAGCAACCCCCTGGAGGCCAAGAATTGCGAGGAGACGCCCGTCGCACATGTTTCACGGCCTCGGCATAGCAGAACAAATTCCGATGTGCTTACGTATGTGTAGATGTGTCCATATACCCATAGATCTATATACCTATATATAGATAGATATGTATATATGTGTGTTTCTAAGTATATAAGTATATAATATACATGTACATGTGCATATACATATACATATACACATGCATGTACAGTTGCATATGCGTATGCATATACATATACATAAACATACAGATTCACACATGTGCGTATACATGTACATAAACATATACATATACATATACATATACATATACGTATACACATACCTATACACACATGAACACCATACACATATACATACAAATATACACACCTATGTATATATACGCATACGTATACAGTTACATGCACATGTTCATATACATACTCATATACATATACCGATATATAAACATATACACATAGATATACATATACATATACATATACTTATACTTATACTTATACATATACATATACATACACACATACCTATACCAATATACATATATCAATATATGCACATATACGTAAATATACACACATAGGCATAGACAGATCTGTAAGTGTAGAAATACGTGTACACATATTACCCAAAGTGTGTTTGTTCTTAGGGACTCTTACTGGTTTAAAAGAACTGGGCCTCTGTGCCGGTCTGGCGGCTCCGTGCCCGCCGTCGCCACCCCGTCGCCACGCCGTCGCCGCCCGTCGTCTGGGCCTGCGTGCTGGTCTGGCGGCTATGTGCCCGCCGTCGCCGCCCCGTCGCCGCCTCGTCGCCGCCCGTCGTGATTTGTACTGCTTCGCATTGCTTCGTATCGATTTGCATTGCGTTGTTTTGCCTGGCTTTGCATTGCTTTGCATTGCTTTGCATTGCTTTGCATTGCTTTGCATTGCTCTGCATTGCTTTACATTGGTTTGCATTGCTTTGCATTGCACTGGTTTGCCTTGCTTGACATTACTTCACATTGCTGCGCGCTACTTTGCATTGCGCTGCATTGCTTCACATGGCTTCGCATTGCTTCGCACTGCATTGCACTGCTCTGCATTGCATTGCATTGCGTCGCATTGTTTTACATTGCGCTGCGTTGCTTTGCATTACCTTGCACTGCCTGTTGGATTGGTTTGCATTGCTTTGCGCCACATAAGTTGGCCGCACGCCCTGCGCAAAACATCCTGGTTTGGCCGCGCGCCCTCCGCAAGACATCCTCAGCAGTTGCCCGGTTTGCCCGTTGGTTTGGGCCGGGTTTCGCCTGAGACCTCCTCAACACTTGTCTCTTTGAACATGGTTTGGCCTGGTTTGGGCCCAGTTTAGCCTGAAACGTTTTCAACGTTTGGCTTGCTTCCCTTTAGTTTGAACTTGTTTGGGCCCGAATTCGCTTAAGACGTCCTCACAAGTGACCCGGTTTGGCCTTGTTTGGGCAAGATGTCGGCCCAGTTTCACTAGACATGCCTTCAATGTTGGCATGTTTTGCCCCTCGTTTAGAAGAATCATTTACGGTCGCCATGCGGTCCCAACACACACTGGGGTGTGTCACATGTTCTTCAACATTGAACGATGAATTAACACACGTCGTGGTGACCGAAGTAATGGCACAAAGTCATGAGTACCCATAGTAGCCCACATATAACACGACTGCGTTTCAAAATGGCAAGCGGCATTCGCGTGGACATTCCCAACACCCTCTGGGTCAACATCGGCGTGCGTGGCGGCGCAAAAAGAAAATTACTCCGAGGCTGTGATCACATATCATTGATTGCACAATCTAGGCGGGCACGCATCGATTGCACAACATAAATGCTGCACATCATAAATGTCGCACATTACAGACTGCACCACGTAGAATACACAACATAAGTTGCCTGCTAGAACACACACACACACTGCTTTGGGGGGCACGATGGCGAACGTAAATATGCATGTATACATGTATATGTTTTTATACGCACGTGCATACGTACATACATACATACATACATACATACATACATGCATACATGCATACATGCATACATGAATACATACATGCAGATAAACAGACACATATACATACACTTACAGACTTATACATATATAATTCAAAATGGTTGGATGCAGGAGTCAATTCTCGACGTCGCCGTGATTCCCGGAACCGACGACGAAGAACGCGAGGGTCTAGGGCCCCATCCTGGGGGGCCAAGCCCAACCGAAGCTAGTGCGACCCCCCGAAACGCCGACTGCAGCAAGTCGATCTGGCCCCTGGTCGACCGAAATTGTGCGGCCAGAGCGCACACAGGAAGACAGGAGTCCCCCTAGCAACCACATGTAAACTCTGCCCCTGCAAACCAGAACTCAGCAAAACCGGCCCCAGGTCAGAATTTGAGGGATGCCCGCAACCAAATTGGGGTGACATTACCCCGCGACATACTCAACCCATGTGCATAAGGCATGGACAGCGACGGCGCAGGCGCCGTCGATTGTCGCGCAAGCTACATGAGGCACGCGCACGTCGCACGACTCACAGAGCAGCGACACAAGGACGAAGGGCGAAGCGCCAGGCTCGACGACGAAAGAAGGGCGGGAACTGAAGGCATGATAGAGACGGAAGTAAGGCCGAAAAGTCAGCACGGCAGCAGCGCAAAGCAGCAAGAAAAGGCACAAAACATAGCAAACAAAGCAGAGGGGTTAAAACACAGAAACGAAAAAACCCAACAAACAAAACCAACACAAAAAAACAAAACACAACAAAGCACAACAGACAAACAAACAAAAGACAAGGAAAAGCACAAACAAAACAAGACAAGCAACAAACAACAAACCAAGAGCAACAAAAGCAGCATAGAAATACACTGATACAGCAGCAACAGGCACACCAATAGAACAACAACAAGCAGCAAAGAAACAGCAGGGCAGGGAGAGGACGGAAGGGAGGCGAGGACGACGACGAAAGAGACGGGGTGAGAGAGGAAGGTGGCGTTGTTTTTCAGTGGCACGCTGCGCTGCGCGAGCCATGTCGCTCTGGCGCTCCAAAAGAACAGCTGTTCATAGCTGGTGCCAGAAGCGAGCGAGGCCTAGCTCGCCCGCCAGGTCCTCCGCTTCCTTCCTGCACCTTTCAATGCAGGGGGGCCCGCGCCAAAGGAACTCAAGGCCAGGGTCGCGTATTATCAGCAGGTTGTCCACCGTAGTCGCACTGGAGGGCACCAAGTAGACATGCAGCCAGAAGACGTCCACGTCCTCCGCGTCTTTGCACCCGGCGTCGACAATGACTCCGTGGTGCATGGTCCGGCCTGACCTCGGCGTGGGAGATGACCAGGCCGGTGCAAACAGCCCCCAGGTATGGCGAGGTCAAATCTGGATCCGCCGTGGGGCGTCACTCCGATCACCCCCTCAGCAGCCCTCGAAAGCGGCGACAGCTTCGCAGATCGCAGCCCCCCGGGGATGGCGAGATAGCATAGGACGGCGGGGTAAGAGACGAGCTGGCTGGCAGGTTCAAGTCAGGGAGGAGGCAGGAGAGAAGCGGAGGAGCGAAGAGAGGAGAAGGGATGCGGGAGAAGGAGGAGAAGTTGCGACCGCAGTGCTCCACTCAAAACGAGAACCCAACGCAGGAGGGTAGGGAAAAAAGAGAGGGGCGGGAAGGTGGAGACCGCAGCGCCCTGCATCCAAAAAGAGAACCCAACGCAGGACGATCAGGGACAAGACAGTACCCATACTGCTACTCCCCGGACCTCTCCCAGGGCGCGTTCTGACCAGAACTCTTCGAGGCGCATCCAGCGGTGGCGACGAGGGCCTCCCCGGAGGCCCAAACAGAAGAAAAAGAGGGAAAGGCAGCGGCATTCGAGGAGCAAAAAACGGCATGAACGGAGACTGTTGGCGGTCCGCGCGGAGCGCCAAAAGTTTACCTTCATGTCGCTTTCTCGTCTTCGACTCTCTGCCTTGTCTGACCGATGCGTACCCCCGCAGATGTTGCACCCTGCGCTGCTCGGCGCCGCGGGTGGCCACCGCCCGCGGGAGGCAGGGCCGCTGGCCGCCGGCCGAGGCGGCACCGCCCGGCCCGCTCCTCGACCAGGAGCTTGTAGCCTCGGCGGGCGGCCGAAGCCCCAGTGTTCGCTGGCGGCGCGCAGAGGGGGGCGGGGGGGAGGGGGAAAGCTTCCAAGGAGGAGGCTCTGCTTCTCAGAGGCCGCCAGCCTCACACCTGAACAGAAGGCCCGCGCCTGCTAAGAGGCAGGGGTGCTTCCGAGAAGCCGTCCCCCCTCCCCCGTACCCCCCACCCGCGCGTGGCCGAGTTAGGTCGGGCATGTCCTCCGACAGGCGGATTTTGAAAGACAAACAAACAAAACATCAAAACATAGTCATAGTCACAAGAGCACGAAGAATCGTCACCAGACTATTTCTTCTAGTCTTGAAGATTCCTCCCGTAGGGACACGCCCGACTCAATTGTAGCCTCGGCTGGCGACTGGAGCTTAGTGGGCCCTGGAAACGACAAAGCCGTTCTTGTGGCTGGCTCCAGCGCCGTGTTGTTTCCGGCTCCGTCGCCCTTTTTGTTGCCGATTCGGTTCCGGTTCCACTTCTGGAGACGTGTTCGTTGCTGCTCCTGGCTGCCGTTTCGTATCGCTTCCATTCTTATAATGAACAATAATCCGAATGATAATAAGAATGGTAATTTTACTCACCATATTCTTCATACACAAAAATCGGCCCTGCCGTTTTCAGAGAGCCCACTGAGGGCTGGAGGTGCAGCCCATGAGCACGTGTCACCAATCCCTGCAGCCGGGCTGCTGCAAGAAGGAGTACCTGATTCAGGAACGAGGCCTATGTTGCTCCCATCGCTCTTGAGGACCACATCCCAGAAATAATGTCGAGCACCCAGAAAAGTATCGAAACAGTGTCGAACGAGTATCGCCTCCCAGGGCCCGACACGTGAAAGCCCTCCAGTCTCGTTACTTCCTTGGCGCTCGAAAGTATTCCTGGCAATCAAGGCTAAAGAGCAGGTTGGAACATCACAAGCGAGGCCCCCGCTCGGCACCAAGGGAGCCCGGGTGCACGAGGAGAGCCGGAAGAGCGACCCAAGGAACAGCGAGCCCCCTTCGGAACCCAGGGCGGTCCTTGCTCCAGCGTCTTGACAGCACCCCCACACGTGCTCGACCATGGGCCCCTTGCCATCCGTGTGCCGCGGTGTTCGGCGGTGGTCGGCGGCTTCCAGCGGTCTTCGGCGGCTGTTTGACGGTCTTCGGCGGTCTCCGGCGGTCTCCGGCGCGAAAGCTGGACGGCTGCGGGGAACAGGGGGCCCATGATCGAACACCTAAGTGAACACAGTCCCTACCGTGGAGGCCAGTCCACACGAAACCTTCCACAAGAAGCCCAACCCGTAGACCCCAGGGCGTCCATTGACTTTTTCTTGTGGTGTGGGAACGCCGCGCTTTCCGTCGCAAAACCATCCAAACCCAAGAAACTCAGGGCACCCTGGAGGCCAGCAGGGTGTTTCTTCGCGTGGGCCTCCACTGTAGCCACGGTGGGAATATGTGCCTGCTCCTTCGGGCTCCGCGGAGCCCATCCCCCGCCTAGGAGGGCGGGCTGGTGGGGCTGAGATGCCCTGGCCCAGCGGGGACCGGGATGGGTTAGACGACACGGAGCGCAGAGACAGGGGAACGAACAATGACATGAACAGAAAAACTCGGAGGTCCGCGCGGATTCCTCGGATCGGCGCTGGGGGCCCCTGGCGGCGCCTCCGGCGCCGCCCCTGGCACGCTCCGCGCGCCAGGGAGGGGGGTCCAGCGCCGATCCGAAAAATCCGCGCGGACCTCTGGGGTTTTACGTCCATGTCATTGTTTTTGCCCCGGAAGATATATCTGGCCACTCGAGAAGATCGAGCCCAACGTCCTGTTCCGCGCGTCGATGTGTTCGCTCCGCGCCTTTTCCCTCCACGTGTGCTGGCCTCTGGGGATCGTTCCTGGGTCCTGGGGTCAGTGGAAAGGGGCCCCGGGGCGAAGCGCTGCCCCGAAGAGAGAAGTCGAAACCCTCTGGAGCCGCGGGCTGAAGAGAATCAGCCCGTCGAAGTCGGGGATCCATGGCGGCCCGAAACGATCGAGCGGGGCGTCCTTCAACTCGCACCCCTTTCCTTCGGCGTGCGGAGACCGTCTCCGGGCCCTGGCACCGCAAGAGCACTGCTCGGGCTGAGGGTCTGGCCCCCGGGGGCGGGGGGCCGAAAAAAATCGAGCCGTCGGAGGTGCTCGGAGGAGCCGGGGCGGCCACGAGGGGGAAGGTTGGAGCCAGGGCCCAGACCCCCAACGCCGCGATTTGTTCACCACGCTGGGCGACGAAAACAGTCGGGTCTCGCGCGAGATGGCACAGCGACCTTGCGCCGCAGCTTGCGCGGACCGCCAGCGCGGCACGCCACGCGCCTGCGAGCGGCCATACGCGGGAAGCTCACGCGCGGATGTCGGCGCAACCGGCCCCGTTTTTCTTCCGCCGCCCACGTGCGCCCCCGGCCCCCATGGGGCCGAAAAGCTGTCAGAGACCTTCCGGCGCAACCTCTCCACGACGCGAAGGGGCAGGAGGCAAGGAAGAAGGCGGAGGAGGAGGAGGAGGAGGAGGAGGAGAAGGAGGAGGAGGGGGAGCAAGAGGAGGATGAGAGCAAAGGGAGGAAGGAGAGGAGGGGGGGGGAGGGACGGAGGGGGGGGAGGGGGGAGGAGGAGGGAGGGCGAGGAGGAGGAGGAGGAGGAGGAGCGACAGGGAGGAGGAGGAGGGGAGGAGGAGGGGAGGAGAGAAAGAGAGGAGGAGAAAGAAGAGAAAGAGGAGGAGAGAGGATGAGGGGGGGGGAGTCTTTTTAGGAGGAGGCTGGAGGAGGAAGGAGGGAGGGAGGAGGAGGGGAGGAGGAGGGGGAGGAGGAGGAGGAGGAGGAGGAGGAGGAGGAGGAGAGGAAGAGGAGAAAGATATGTTTTTGCCGAGTGCCGCCCCGCCCCGCCAGCACTAAAAAACGCCCGGCCCGCGCATCGGCCGCGCGGAGCCGTCGCGCGCGGCCGCGCGGCGCGGCCGCGGCGCCCCGCCCACGCGGGCGACGGGCGAGACCGCCCCCGCGGGACGGGGAAAAGGCCCCGCCCCACGGGCAGGCGGGAAGCCCCAACCGAACGGAGCCGCCCCCCACGAAGGGGGATCCGGGAAGCCGAACGGGCAGGGCCACCCGCACGCCCTAGGGGCAGGGCAAAAAAAGGGCCCGGACCCCGGGACCCACGAAACGACGACGACGACGACGACGACAACGACAACGACACGACACGACGGGGAGAAGAACCGCCGGTCCCGCCCCAAGGCGGCGAGTGCGGGGAATGAACTCCCGCACCGCCCTAGGGGAGGCCACGGGACCTGGCAGCCCCCTGGGAAGGAAAGCCCGGGTGCGGGGGCTTGGACCCCGAAGGCCCGGTGCTCCCCGCCTGCACCAGGGGGCACTTTGGCCCGACACCCCGCTTATGGGGGTGACCCTCCGGGGCAGGAGGAAAAAGAGGAGGAGGAGGAGGAGGAGGAGAAGGAGAAGGAGGAGGAGGAGGAGGAGGAGGAGGAAGAGGAGCGGGAGGAGGAGGACACGCAAGGAGGAGGAGCGGCTGCCCACCCCCCAGCGGAGGCGAGCGAGGCGCCCCCACGAAAACCCCCATTATCCTCCTCCTCCTCCTCCCCCTTCCTCTACTACTCCTCCTCCTCCTTCCTCCTCATCCCTCATCCTCCACTCCCGCCTCCTCCTCCTCCTCCTCCTCCCCTCCTCCTCCTCCTCCTCCTCCTCCTCCTCCTCCTCCTCCTCCTCCTCCTCCTCCTCCTCCTCTCCGCTTCCTCCTACTCCTCCTCTTTTCCTCTCCCCTCCTCCTACCCTCCTCCTCCTCCTCCTCCTCCTCCTCCTCCTCCTCCTCCTCCTCCTCCTCGTCCTTCTCCTTCCGCCACCCCCCCCGATCCCCTGGAGGCAGGAGCAAGGAGGGAGAAGCGTTTTGGCCCCAGCGCGTCAGAGGCGTTGTCTCTGCGCACGCGAAGGAAGGAGAGTGAGGGAGGGGAAAAATGGGAGAGGGAGGGAGAAGGAGGAGGATGGAGGGAGGAAGGGACCATGGCCGCAAACTTACCCCTCGACGACGACGAGAACGAGAACGAGAACGAGACGCAGCAGCAACGACGACAACAACACCGACGACGACGACGACGAAGACGACAACAACAAGGACAGGGACCTTCCCTGGGCCCCGGCGCTCGGGCTCCTCCAGCGCTCTCCTCCTTTGGGGGGCAGGGACCCTTCCCAGGCCCCGGAGCGCCCGGGGACCCCCGGAACAACACAACACAACAACGGTCCGGGTTTAATTAAACACAAAAAACTCCACCTCTATCAGAAGTGGATCAATCCTTCAAGCCATGTTGCAATGTCTGCACCAGCGAAGCTCTGGAATCCTATGGGAATCCTATGGGAATCCTATGGGAATCCGATGGGAATCCTATGGGAATCCGATGGGAATCATACGAATCCTATAGGAATCCAATAGGAATCCTGTGAATCCTATACGATTCCTATAAGGAACCCAATGAATTCTGTACGGATTCCATAAAATAGAAACCCTATAGGAGTCCTATACGAATCCTATAAGAATCCTATAGGAGTCCTACGAATCCGAATAAATCGGGTAGGAATTCTATCGGATGCCTAAAGGGGTCCTATGAACTCTCTACGAATCCCAAAGGAATCCGATAGGAACCGCAAGAATCTTTACGGAATCCCATAGGAATCTTCTGAATCCTATACAATTCCTTAGGATTCCTCGTGGAACCCTACGAATCCTATATGAATCCTGTAGGAATCCTATAGGAACCCTACAGGGATCCGATGAATCCTATACGAATCCCATAAGAATCCGATGGAAGCTCTATGAATCCTCTATGAATCCTGTAGGAATCCGATCGGAAGCCTACAGGAATCCTATGACCCCTGCACGAATCCCAAAGGAATCTTATAGGAATCGCAAAAGTCCTTACGGAATCCAATAGCATTCCTATCAATCCTATACGAATAGGATTCCTATAGGAATCATATGAATCCGATATGAATCCTGTAGGAATCCGATAGGAACCCGATAGGGACCCGATGAATCCTACACGAAGCATTTGTATAATCTAATGGGAATTCTACGAAACCTATATGAATCCCATTGGAATGCCATAGGAGTCCTATGAGTCCTATACGAATCCTACAGGCATCCAATGAATCCTGTATGAGCCCTGTAGGAATCCTATAGGAAGCCTAGAGGAATCCTATGAGTCCTATACGAATCCCATCGGAATCCCATCGGAATCCGATGAATCCTATACGAATCCTACAAGAATCCAATGAAGTCTGTACGAATTCAATAAGAGTCCGATAGGAACCCTATACGAATCTCAAAAGAATCCTATAGGAATCTAAGAATCCTATAAGAATCCCATGGGAACCCTATGAATCCTATACGAACCCTTAGGAATCCCATAGGAGTCCGATGAATCCTCTATGAATCCTCTAGGAAGTCTGTAGGAACCCTGTAAGGATCTTGTGAATCCTATACGAACCCTATGGGGATCCCATGGGAATTCGAGAATCGTGTGCGAATCCTATGCGAATCCTGTAGGAACCCTACAGGAGTCCGATGACTCCTATACGAATCCTATAGGAATCTTCTAGGTCCTATATGAATCCTCTAGGGATCCTATAGGAACCCTGTAGGGATCCCATGAAACCTATACGAATCCCAAAGGAATCCTATAGGAATTCTATAGGACTTGCATGAATCCTGAAGGAATCTCATAGGAATCCAATGAAACCTGTACGAGTCCCATAAGAATCCGATAGGAAACCCATACGAATCCGATAAGAATCCGATAGGAATCTTATGAATCCTATATGAATCCTGTAGGAATCCGATGGGAAGCCGAAAAGAATCCTATGAATCCTGCACGGATACCAAAGGAATCCTATAGGCATCCTCAGAATCCGAAAGGCATCCAATAGGAAGGCTATAAATCCTATACGAATCCTTGGGATTCCTATATGCATCCAATGAATCCTATATGTATGCTGTAGGAATCCTATAAGAACACTATAGGGGTCATCTGAATCCTATACGAATCCTATGGGAATCCTACGGGAATTCTACGAATCATATATGAATCCCATCGGAATCCCATCGGAATCCGATGGATCCTATACGAATCCTATAGGGATCCTATCGGTCCTATACGGATCCTGCAGGAATCCTATAGGAACCCTGTAGGGATCCTATGGAATCCGATACTAATCCTATAGGAGTCCTATAGGAATTCTATGAATCCTATACGAATCCTATAGGAATCCCATAGGAGTCCTATGAATCCTGAACGAATCCTATAGGCATCCTATAGCAATCCGATGAATCCTACACAAATCCTATGCGAATCCTACAGGGCTGGTGGATTGTGAGAAAGTCTCAGGCGGGAGCCCTCGACGTTGCTGTTGTTGTTGTTGTTGCTGCTGTTGTTGTTGTTGTTGTTGTTGTTGTTGTTGTTGTTGTTGTTGGGGGGGGCAGCCCGGGGCACGACGCCCGTCCCTATTCAACAACAACAACAACAACGACAACAACAACAATAACAACAACAACAACAACAACAACAACAACAACCACAACCACAACCACAACCACAACCACAACCACAGCCACACCCACACCCACACCCACAACAACAACAACAACAACAACAACAACAACGACGACGATGACAACGACGACGACGACGACGACGACGACGACAACAGCAATCACAACGACGACGACGGCGACGATGACGACGACAACGGCGACGGCGACGACGACGGCGACGGCGTCGGCGACGGCGACGGCGAGCGCGACGGCGAGCGCGACGGCGACGGCGACGGCGCCGGCGACGGCGACGGCGACTGCGACGAAGACAGCAACGACTACGAGGACGGCGACGACGGCGACGGCGACGACGAGGACGACGACAGAACGACAAGACGACAGGACGACAGGACGGATGACGACCACGACGACGACGATGACGACGGCGGTGGCGGCGGCCAGCTCGCCGCTGGCCTGCGCCATACCACAGCAGCGCCGTCGGCACGGACGCGGCGATGACGAGCCAGAGCGGCCGGGGTACCCCAGGCGAGCCCACCTGCTCCTCCTCCTCCTCCTCCTCCTCCTCCTCCTCGTCCTTCTGCTCCTTCCCCTCCTCCTCCTCCATCTCCTATCCCTCCTCCTCCTCCTCCTCCTCCTCCTCCTCTCCTCCTCTTCCTCCTCTTTCTGCCTTCCTTTCCCACCTCTCCTCCACTTTTCTTCTTACTACTACTTACTACTACTACTACGGACTACGACTGACGACTTACGACTCGACTTTTACGACTACGACTACGTCTCCGACTACTGACTTCTACTACTACTACTTCTACTACTACACTACTACATACTACTACTATACTTCTACTACTACTTACTCTAGTACTACTTCTCTACTACTACTACTACTTACTGCTAACTACTATACTACTACTACTACTACTACTACTCT